AGAAATCCAAAAGCACAACCGCAAACTCAACAAAGATGTTGAGTTCCAAAGACAAGCCCTTTTTGTTTTAGAAGAAGAATCCCATTTCCAAGCTTTAAAACATGAATACAAAGAGTTTAATAAGGCAATAAGTGAGGAAAGAAGGTGTGAGAGTGGAGGGGGTTTGTTAGTGGGGAAGCCATGGGAGAGAATAGAGAGAGTGAAGTTGAAAGAGATTGGTAGTGGAAGTAGGGAGTTTAATGGAGGTAAGTTAAAGAGAGAGAATTTGAGACAGTTGAAGGAGGTTTTTGAGGGTAATTTGAAGTGGGTTTTTGATGATGATATTGATGTGGAAGACAGCGATTGGTTGAGAAGTGGTGGTGAAGAGAAATGGGACCCTGCGAAGCGGTGGCGTGGAGAAGGGGAGGCAATTCGGTTTCTTGTTGATAGGTTTGTGATTGACATTTTTTTTCTTCTTTTATGGATGATATGTGATTCTTTTTTCTTCTTTTCTTTTTGTAATTTTGTAGGTTAAGTTGCAAGGAGGTAAGTGTAAAGGATTGGAAGTTAGCCAAGATAATGAAGCAGTCAGGGTTGAGGTTTAGTGAAGGTCAGTTGCTGAAGATTGTGGAGGAACTTGGGAACAAAGGTAAATGGTCACAGGCAATGGCTGTTGTGGAATGGGTGTATAATGACAAGGAACGTAGAGATTGTAAGAGCAGGTAATGGTTTTGGTGTTTTGGTTTTTGTTTCAAGAATTAGGATTGTGTTGTTAACTTTGTGGTTGACCAGATATCTTATCCACGCGTTAACATTTCTTCCTTGTGAACTTTTGTGGAAAATTCGTCTATTGAGACATATATGGTTCTCGGGTTAAGAATAGATGGAGGAATTTTGAACTATAGGCATACTGGATTTTCCAAACTTGGGTCTCTGCTATTTGTTCATGATTCTAGAATTGACTTTGTTGCAGCTAGGGCATTTCATAAGTAGGAGAGAAGTGTAGTATAAAGGTAACCTTTACCTTTGGTGTGCGGGCTGGTGGCAGTGGACCTTATCTATAACGAGTTCTTGGGACAACAGACATGTGAATTGTGATCTAAAAATTAGATTTTAACGTAACCTGAAATATGGTTTTAGTATTTTTGTTTACTCAAGTGGGTTAACTGTGGCCTTTCTGTTACAATTCCTTAAAGTATACACTAGATTTGACAAGATGCAACTCGATATGCTCTTTCTGTTTGTAGTCATGCTTACTACGCTAGTGAGTTTTTTTAAAACTGGTCTTTGCATTGCTTGAAACACTTTAAAATTGTAATGTTTTTTTATCTTGCCAGCTACTCTAAAAACTATATGTTTTATCATATAAACAAATCAATGCTTTTTGTAGGTTTGTTTACACAAAACTCTTGTCAGTTCTTGGGAAGGAAAGGAGGCCCCAGGAAGCACTTAGCATTTTTAATCTGATGCGCGTAATGGTCCATGGATTTGTTACTTCATACATTAATTTTCTTCATCATCATACACACTCACCCATTATATTGGTTCTTACTCTTCATACATTCAGGAAGATCGCAGAATATATCCTGATATGGCTGCATATCACAGTATTGCTGTTACACTCGGCCAAACTGGTCTTCTGAAAGAGTTGGTGAAAGTTATTGAATGCATGAGGCAGAGACCTTCTAAACGAGTCAATAATATGCTTAACAAGAACTGGGACCCAGTCCTTGAACCAGATCTGGTTATATATAATGCTGTAAGAGAGCATCCCTATGCCTCTCCTTTCACATTTTTTAGATTCTTTAATCTGTTAAAGACTTGTTACTTGGCTTCTTCCAACTCATTTTGCAGATACTGAATGCCTGTGTTCCATCCCAGCAGTGGAAAGGTGTATCGTGGGTTTTTCAACAGTTGAGAAGATGTGGTCTTAAACCCAATGGAGCAACGTATGGATTAGCAATGGAGGTAATTGCTGGACTGTGATATCCATAGACATGCAACATAATAAGAATGGTTGGGTCATTATTGTGCTTCCTAGCCAAGTGACTAAGCATGCCTATAATTTTCTGATTGTTATGTGAAGAGTAGAATGGTGAAGAAAAGGGCTTTAATGGCTTTGATTCTTATAATGATTCACATTCAGCAATATAATGTTGATCCTATGACTTCTATACTTTAGTCGTCAGTTGGGTGTGGTCAAAACAAGTTTGCCATTCCAAAATAAAGTTAACATTAGCAATTTAGGCTTGATCAAGTATCTTTGAGTTTTCTTTTCGTCTTATTTCATGTAACATGGGAGCAATTATAATTTTCGTGTTTCAGTATAATATTTGAGTAATGGGCAGATAAATGCTGTTTTACCAGGAGAGAAATCCAGTTTATGTGATGCTTTATCAATCCATACACTTCTGTTAATTAGTTATAGAGTTATATTCCAATCTATTTGTGGCTGTTATTCGTCCATAGGGTAATTTAGATTGATGTTTTGACTGGTAATTGAAATTTTGTATGCAAGATGTTGTGTTCCTTGAATTATATTTATATGCAAGTCTTACAGGAGATGCTTCTTGTAAGGTAATGCTGCATTCTGGAAAGTACGAATCTGTCCATGAGTACTTCAGGAAAATGAAGAAAAGTGGGGAATCTCTTAAAGCCCTTACATACAAAGGTATTTAGTCTGCATAAAAATCTATATAGTTTCTCCCTAATTTGGGACATGGCTCGGGCATTTATGTATTGTGACTTTCCAGTTCTTGTGAGAGCGTTTTGGGAGGAAGGTAGAGTCAATGAAGCTGTGGAAGCAGTGAGGGACATGGAACAAAGAGGAGTAGTTGGAGCAGCCAGCGTATATTATGAGCTAGCTTGCTGCCTTTGCTACTATGGAAGGTGGCAAGATGCTATGCTAGAGGTCAGAATCTTCACTCTAGCAATTGATTAATTGCTCTGGACTTGTAGGTTGCTTGGTTATGGCATTGTTGAACTATCTGCTCTTTGGCTTCTTATATGTGGAGGCTTCTATGGCTGCATTTTATTTAGTATCTATAGGTCACAGAACATATCTTAATAAACATGCCTGCAGGTTGAGAAAATGAAAAGACTCCGTTATAAGAAGCCTTTGGAGGTATCTCTCACTGGAATGATAGCGTCTTCTATGGATGGTGGGCATATTGATAATTGCATATCTATCTTTGAACACATGAAAGCCCATTGTGTCCCAAACATTGGGACCATTAACACTATGCTGAAAGTTTATAGCCGAAGTGATTTGTTCTCTGAAGCTAAGGAGTTGTTTGAGGACATTAAGGGAGTTGATCATAGTGGCACTACCATTATACCAGATGGGTACACATACAGTTCAATGCTTGAGGTATCTGCTCGTGCACTCCAATGGGAATACTTTGAGTATGTTTACAAGGAGATGTCTTTCTCTGGGTATCAGTTAAATCAAATTAAACATGCGCCATTGCTTGTGGAAGCATCTAGATCTGGAAAGGTGGACTTGTCCTTTATAGTCGTTTTCTGTATTTAAATTTTTGAAGTTTTTGGCCATGCCAGTTCATTTTAACTTACAGATGAACTCAATGAGTAGATTATTAAATCTCTTGACTTCATGTTCTCTTAACGCAGAGTCATCTTCTGGAGCATGCATTTGATGAAATTTTGGAAGCTGGAGAAATCCCTCATCCACTGCTCTTCACTGAAATGGTATTTCAAGCCACAGCTCAAGAGAATTATGAGAGGGCTGTCACTCTTGTTAACACCATGGCTCATGCCTCATTTCAAATTACTGAAAGGCAGTGGACAGATCTTTTCGAGAAAAATGGAGAAAAAATCAGTCAGGATAGTTTAGAGAAGCTGTTGGATGCAGTTGGTCATTGTCGTATGGCATCGGAGGTCACAGTCTCTAATTTGTCAAGATCATTGCGGTCTCTATGCAGGCTTGGCTCATCAGGAGATTTACCCTGCACCAATTCTTGCATTGAAGACACTGATGATACTCACATCAATACTAACAGTGGGGAAATGGCAGGCAATAGGAACGCATATATGCTAAAAACTTCTTCAAGTATGGTAGATGGAAATCTCGAGCTGGATGAGGATACTTTTGTTAATAAAACTAGCATCAATCTGGATATGCCCCTTGTTAATAACAGTAGTACCAACAGAGAGGATGATGATCCGGAAGCAGCCTCTAGCACTGGAAACTCTGTTAATGGCCTGGATGTAGCCACAAACCTATTAGTGAAGAGGGATGTTTTTGCTGATGATGTGGCATCTGGTGCTTCTACTGATTGTCTAGACAAGAAGCTCTTGGATATTTTATTAGAAGAGCCTGCAAAAGATGCTGAAGAGGTAGAGCTTGAAATAGGAACAACGGAAGCTAATGATCTGTATAGATCTGAATTGCCCTCAGCTCATGCCATACTAGATGTTTGGAAGGAAAGCAGGAAAAAAAGATAGTGTATCCTTCCCCTTTCCTGGGCAGGGGCAACTGCCAATTTTGGTCTACATGATACAAAATTACAACAAGAATAGACGATGCTTGAGCAGCTTGCTTCACTAAGAAAGCTGGCTTTGGCTCGCTCTTTTCTTTTCTTTTGCTAAATGGCAATCCCTAGCTCCTTGCACTTCTTTGCTTGCCATACTGTTGAATCCTGGTGGCAGAGAAAGGGTTTCACGGAAGTTAGGGCTTTGATGATTAGGGTTTAAAAAAATGCAATTTTTATTATCCAGGGGAGGGGGGGGGGGAATAAAGAAAGGTGACTTCACAAATGATCATTTTGCTGTTTAATCATTTAAGGGTTTAAAACGTATTGGCAAGACTAAATAAAGAAATTCAAGAAAAAGAATGAATAAAAGTAATTAAGAATTTCAATTTCCCTGAAGAATTAACAGAGAAACATTCCTGCCCGATTGCAGAACAGATCATTGCAGGCATGATCCTCATTCTGAAAACAAATGGCCACCTATAAAGAGCAACAAGTTTTTTTTCAGCAGTTATACCAGGGAACATTAAAAATTAAAAAACAACATCCATTCACTCTTCATTGGATTGATTAACGATCGAAATGACATTTAGATGTCTCATCTTGTTTAGCAATCCAGCTTCCTCATCCTGATTTTTTCACCAGTGTCTACTCTTTTACCACATTGTAAAGTTTGATTTCAAAAACCTATACTCTGCCCACGAAATGATCGCTCTAAAGGGGCAGCATGATTTCATGGAATAATTTTGCAGCTCCCGATTTACAAGTTAACCACATTTACAGTTGTATGGACAAAATGACGGCTGATACAGCGCGTCAACATGATGTCAAGTCCAATGCATGCTTCGTTCCCATCAACTCAGAAGTCCATCTGTAAAACATGTCATTTGCATAAGTTTTATAGAGATATCAAAAAGATTAGAGCAAGACTAAAATTATTAAGCTCTTTCCATCTCCCCCACCAGAAAACAAAGAAAAAAAAGGCAAGGAAGGAAAACAAATGAAGAAAGAAAGATTAAATAGCAAAAAAGCATATCATTCTTCTTAAAGCTAAGCTTTGAATGATTTTACTCTATAAGCATGAAAAAAAGAAAAAAGTTGGGTTCAACCACTAGAAGTTATACGTGAAATAAATTTGTCCACTGCACAGAGCGCAGTGCAACTCATCTAGTGGACGAGATTTTATCATGGTATAACAGCAGAGAGATGAGTTTACCAGGTATGACGTGCCCGGAGCTTAAATGCCTTCATCGCAGCTTTGGCAAAAACTTGTGCTGCTTCTGCCTCTGCCTCTGCTTTCTCAGCCTCCCTTGCAGCTGCTTCAGCATCTGCAATTGCAGATTCTGCCTCTGCGACTGCCTTTGCAGCAGATGCAGCAGCCTCCAAGGCAGTCATCCCCTGAATCTTTGATGGGTCTCTACCAACGTGGGCTTTAGTAAGGATTTTGTTCTTACTCTTCTCTAATTTTAAGGCATCCTTCCGTTTTCCTTCTGGGAGGGCATGGTTTTTTCTTCCTTCAGAAAATGTTGAACTAGGTGCAATCCTGTACTTGTGCTGAACCTGTAAATACATACATAAAAGGATGATTTTGATATAAGATGTTCCTTTAAATATTCACCAGCATTATAAGCTCAAAGCCTCAAACACGTATCTTCCCATCATAAATTCTTTTCACACTACTGTTCATGCTATTTTTCCTGTAAACATGACATTATTAATTTTCACTGTCCTGCATCACAGAATTCTAAAATGCCTTGAAACAAAAAACACAAGGAATTGATTTGACTCTGCAGACAGAGGACATTAATTCAAATCACTTCTAGATCTAATTAGTTTCCATGCATGCTCATGTACTACCGCAGAGGAATTATTACCATAATCAAATTTCCATTGGCAGTCAAATGCTTCAGTTTTCCTCCCAATATCTTTCTTAGATTCATGGGTGCCCAGTATTTCTCCTACAAATTAAAAGACATTACATCAAAATCAATTTGATCACCAATGAGTAATTTGTGTGCGCGCGCGCGTGCTTGTGTAGGGTGTACAACTATTGGACATACTTAGACTGACATAGTTATTGATAGTTGGATTCATATAAAAAATATGTGAAAAAAAATAACCCAGAAATCTGGAGAGACAAACATTAACAATGTCCAGCTACGTACCTGTATGTACAAAGCAATTGAAGCCCTGTCAGAACCCGTTGGCTCCTTCAAAGTCGTAATAGCCTCTAATATTAGATTATCCAACCTACAGCCACAAAAGTAGGTCACAACGAAGTTAGTTAATAATTGCACACAAAAAAAAAGGAAAGGCTGGTTACCGATACAGAGATTTTGTGGCCTTGAGAAACTAAATCTTTATAAGCAACTGCATGCAAATACAGCCTCGTGTTCTGAATTCCCAAAGCATTCATAGATCATAACTATAAGGTTTTGAGTTGTAATATACTGCCATTAATCATCATTTTCCATTTGCAATGTTATCAAAACATACCATTTCACCATTTACACTCTATGATTAGATTTATTTGCACATATGTTTTTCCTTTCTCATAACAGAAATTGAAACACTTCGAAAATTCAGAGTGCGGAATCTGTTGAACACAATCAACTTAATGGCACAGGGACAAGTTTTTAGCAACCCAGGGAGGAATTAAATTGGTTGGAGGGAGAAAACAAATGGAAATGAAAAGGTGACACACAACAAGCAGGAGATAATTTTTTGCCAAGCCAAACAGGTTCATATACCAAAGCAGAATGTCTAAAGATCTTCAGAAAGTAACATACGCAACAGATCAGTGAGCATAAGAAACTCAAATAAAGCCATGATGTACCATGTTCAAAGAGACTCATAGAGAAGGTTGCTATTCCTCAGGGTCAGCACACACATTACAGTGCCATGGTGAGAAAAAGAGAAGAATTGAACTTGAAGATCTCAAAACAATAAACATCAATACAGCAGGGAAACATATTCTCATTCAAAACTATTTTGACTTCTAATATGACATTAACCCCCATCTAAGAACGTATTTTGGTTGAATATTGGGCCCCATAATGGTAGTTTTTTTACTAATAAAAAACGGGTTGTGGATTTTCAGCCACCTAAACCAACACTTCTTGCCTTCACAGGCTGAGAGCTGGCTAATTAACTAACCAGTCTTTCTATTAGAGCCCCAAGACAATACAATCCAGCTTGTATGCGTGATAACTGGAATTTTTTTTTCCTATTTAAGATCTGCCATCATGATGTTGTCAGACTTGTGGGAAGGATACACAACTTAAAATTATAATATGGAAACTGTTTTTTCAAATTTCTTTTTGAGAACAAAAATAATGGTGTCAGATAGTTCAATTATATCAAATTTCTTCATATCATCATAACATCACGAAGTCAGGAACTCATCATCTAGGTTCATGAACATTGATGTACTTGAATATTATGAATTTTGCTGTTTTTGTATAACAATATTAACCAGACAGCTAATCCTTAACATCTTGATAGCAGAAAAGCAGGTTGTTAATTTGTCATTTTTCCATGTTCCAACTTCATTTGCATACTATTATCAAAAGATACATCCAAGCTCAGTAAAACATGAAGTGCAGATATCATATCAGAAGTATATAACCTTGCAAGCAGGTCTTTTGGACCACCATTCCCTGGTGTCCCACTAGCAAATGCGAGAGGCTTAGCATCAACAACTTCTTCATTGGTCTGAACAACAGTGCTGAGAGCCTTTGCATTCTCCTCGCGCTTAGGAGTCAGTGGTCTCCTTTTAAGTGCGATCTTCGCCTTTTTCCTTGAACCCCATATTGCAGTCACATTTATATTTCTCCATTTATCCTGCCCAGAGAGAGTTGAACGCCATTCATCATCAAAGAACAAGAGGGCGTGAGGTTTTTATATAGAAAACAAGGGAGGGTGCATAGAAACATCCATACCTTGAGATCAACATTGGAACGCAAACGCAAGACGGCACTAAATTCAGGATCCACAAGGATTGTACGCCATTTTCCAGTGCCATGCTTAAGCACTCCAGCTTTAAGGGCTGCCTCTTCTTCGGCAGTCCACTTCTGCTTAGGAGCACCCATCCCATCAACAGATGATATAGTAGTAATAATAATTCTCACCCACCCCTTTTCCTTTCAAGCATAAATAAACTCAATGAGACCGAGAATCTGATCGTTACTTTGCTTTCATATTATTTTTTAATGATATTTAAGAATAAATAAATATGTTGTTTTACCTGATGATGAAAGGAAGCAAGGAAGAGCAGGAGGGGCAGGGAATGTACGAGTGAAAGTGAGAAATTCAGGAGGGTACCATTTCGATCTTTTCAACTCTTTTATCTTTTTTATGGATTCTGCTTTCACTCCCTGAAGAAGAAGCTGAAGGAGAGAGTGGAATATATATATATATATATAAATCTAGAGTTTATTTGTGTCCAAATAAACAGGGTAAGAAACACCAGTCGTCCATAGTATTTGGATATTTGGTCAAATCTGTCCCTTTTCTCTGAAACAAACCATCCGAGTATGATAGATTTTAACCTTTCATTGATCAATCACATATGATTTCTTTTACTAATTTGTAAATTAAGTAAAAATTGATGATGAGATTTGCATACCCCCTTTTAGAGTTTTTAGAAGCTCATTAACCTATTTTTCTTCATCTTTTTAGGTTTAAATCTTGGGATATTACTAAGAAAATTTATTAAATTTCTTATAAAATATAAGAAAATAGAGGAAAATCAATACCCTATTTTTTTAAGAAAGGTTTGTAAAAGCCAACTAAAAATGCATCAATATTAGTTAATTTGGTAAGACGCAAGGAATTTATTTTTTGTTTTATGCTAAAATATCCTTAAATTTAGAGAATTAGGTAAACTTTTTTTAATATATTTTATGTCTAATCTTCAATTTATTTTTATAATTCTAGTTACTTTTAATTTTTCCCTAAACGTGGAATAAATTTCCAATATATTATTTTCCAAGTATTTATATTTAAGTTGATGAAAATACCCTTTAGAAAACACAAATATGACCTAATTAAATATAAATACAAAATATATAAATTTTTTAATAAATATTGCTTAAGTTCAAGTTTTTGGTATTTTCATTCCTTTAAATGGAATCTATCAAAATTATAGATTGAATAATTATTTAAAATATAAAGATAAATTGATAACAATTAAACATATAAAAACATGCTAGAGCTAATTATCCTGAAATAAAAATTACACAAGGCTTAAGAGGATAGGAGCCGTTTTGTCAATCAACTTGAACTACAAGGACTAGTTTGCAATCTTAGAAAAACAAAAGTCCATAGTTCCACTCGTTTAACAACGTTTTCACCATCGAACCTGGAAAAGGCAGCACAACTCTCTGATTTGATTGAAGATGTCGAATTCTCTGCCAAAAATCTGGAAAAATGGCTGCGCCCTTCGAGCAAGCAGCATAGGCCCATTATGGAGGAGGCCGTTCTCCGCTTCTTCCGATGCATTGGTAGAGTACAAAGCTGGGGAGATCGGCATGGTCTCCGGCATCCCCCAAGACCACCTTCGCAGGAGAGTACGGCCCTCTTTCTCTTACAAGTCTGTAAATTATTTTTCCTGTTGGATTTTATGCCTTCTGGGTTCGGTGTGGCTGAATTTGTTTGATGCTTTAGGGTTTTCTACGTTTTTCGTTTTTACAATATATTAAGAAACCTGGGAATGACTCTCTGGGGCGATTGTAATTTCAAGAAACATATCTGCTGCAATCCATGGATTTATCAGTAATGGGGGGGTTGCTAACTGGATGTATCTTTGTAACGAGGAATTGCTCGGTATACCGGGAGTTGTACTCCTTTCTCTCAAATAAAGGTGAATAATTTTCATGGTGGATTGGATGTTTATGTGAGATTGTGGAGTACAAATCTTGGTACACCTAATAATTTCAGTATACTGGGAGTTGGACTCCTTTCTCTCATATGAAGGTGGGCCTCATGAATAATTTTTCATGGTGGTTCGCATGTTTATGTGAGATGGGGGATTACAACACCTATTATACCTAATATTTTCTCAGTTGTAATATGAAATTGGTATGTGATTAACCAGTTGGTAACTTGATTTGCATGTATGAGCAGGAACTTAATTAAAGCCATCACTGCAAGGTCACTGTATTTAGCTGTGTTATATGCTCTCTCTTTCTTCCTTTCATTTTTACTTCTCTTATTACAACTTGATTTTTAGCCTTTGTCATGCATGGTAGGTTGTCATTTACTCACCTGCTAGAACTGCAACCCAGCAAGGATCTGGAAAAGTTGGAAGGTGGAAAATCAATTTTATGTCAACACTAAAGTATGTGATCCTATCTGCTGTTTTCCCTTTCTGAGAGTTTTTTTTTTTTTCATTTTTTGTTTGTCTACAATTTTTCACAAGAGCATGTGCTTTTTTACATGGATTTTTGTGGCTGAGTGTATCTGTTTGCAGATTGCAATCTAATTGACCTAGATTATTTTTGCTGATTAAGCCATCCCAAATTGACTAAGCCCAAATTCCAAACTAGTTGGAAAATTTGCATGGATCTGCTTTCTCCAATTAATTCGGTTAAGAGGAGCACACTGAGGCTTAATTTTCTGAGACATGAAGCCCAATTTTTTACTTGCTATGCTATCGCTAATGTTCAGTATTTTGAGAGAGGTTCCCTTACTGTCGGCAAACTTCATGAGTTAGAGAGTATTTTTCATATGCTGACATATCTTGAAAATTCATCAGATTCCCCTGAAATGTTCTCATCTTGTGTAGTTTTCAATGAAGTGAGGGATCATAGATTCTCTGGTCCCAAATAATTTATGAATGGTGATTGGAGCTTAAAATACATGATCAAAATTTATTTATATCTGACTACTTTTTCTGTAGGTGGGAGAATCCATTAATGGGGTGGACATCTACAGGGGATCCATATGCCCATGTGGGTGATTCTGCACTCGGTTTTGACAGTGAAGAAGCTGCAAAGGCATTTGCTGAGCGTCATGGTTGGGAGTATGTGGTGTGTATTTATCCTCTTATATCCCTGTGAAAAAGTAGCAACAAAGCTTGAAATGAACCAACCAACAATAAGACTGGAAAGCATCTTCTTATATGTGCAATTTTAAGTTTTCAAATGCTACATGAACAACTGTTATGGGTATTTAGGATACGTGAGATGGATGGAGGACAAAGATGAGTTCTAATTGTTCCATTTTCATCATGTTATTGAGATTTTCTCTTATATAACATTCCTTGGGATGGGAGGGAATATGCTATACATCTCCTAAACACATAAAGTTATGTTCTTTTTGGTTTCTGGCTATTAATGTATTTCCGTTTCCCATTTTAACTTTGAAACTTTATTAAGTTTGTAGTATGGTGACAGCATTGGTATTTGTGTATGGTTTTGAACTCTTGCAATACTTAGATTAAGAATCTGGTGATAATAATCTGATGAACTCTCCCCCTTTTGGAAACTAACTTTAGTATCTTATGTGCTTTCTTGAACTTGTTTTTCAGGTTAAAAAGCGCCACACACCGCTATTGAAGGTTTGAACTTGTCCTTAATTCATTTTTTTCTGGCATTTCTATCAAGTTGCCTGTATTGTTGAGCTAGGTTGTTCCACCTGGGTAGGTATTACTTTGAGGTTAAGACAATAGTCTTGGCTAGGATCATGAATAAGACATCATCTCAAGGTTTTGTGGCTTCCAATCTGCTGTGGCCTTAAGTTTGCATTCTTCTTCCTGAACCATGCAATGATCTTAGTGGAACTGCTAATTGCATACTGGTTTCAACCATCCTTAGCCCCTCTCTGGCTTAAGAAACTATTGTAGGATGCCAAAGTTCTCACCACTTCTGTCTGTGCATAACTGGGGAATGTTTATTATTTGTTAGGTGTTTAGCAGTAGGGTTGTGTGGTTGTGAAATGTGTGGATTTGGCAGTAACTAGTCCATTCACAGTTAGGTAGCATTCAGTTTCATAGGAATTTCAAGTTATTGCTAGATGTGTATCAACCAAGGTGATGGGAACAAGTCTTACCCTCAGTTTTGTGATCTGGAAAATAGGAATTCCATGCGCTGAAAGGATCTTTTGACCATTAGCTGATGTTTAACTTTGTGTCAAGTGCCATCTGCAAGCCTTTCATTTGATGTGAACCACACATTTGTCATTCTGGTCACTCCAAACTTTTCTTCTCCTTTCAGGTTAAGGCATATGCAGACAACTTCAAATTCAAGGGGCACCCCAAGACTGATGACAAATAAATTTATTTTTCGTGTCTTTTTTCCTGGTTTATAAGCCTGAAGTTGTTCAAATTGGATGAACATTTTCTGACGATGGCAGTGAGCTATGCTGAGAAAATCATATATCCCTACTGAACACTTATCTTGTAATAAACGGATGAGTTGAGGGTGCTGCTTCACATCCCTTTTTCTTTTTCCCGGTTTCTTTGTCAATGACAATTACAATTAGGCTCTGTTTGTTTGTAGGAAAGTTGTTTTCTTTTTTAGAGTGAATTCCAGAAAAAGTGAATTTCTGGAAAGTGAATTCCAGGAAAAATGAATTCCTGAAAAGTAAATTATTTTTAAATGTTTGGTAGTGTTATGAAAAATGAACTGAAAAATACTTTCGAGTGTTTGGTTATGTTATGAAAAATAAACTAGAAAATAATTATTAATATTTTATTTTTCTCAAGTTTATTAAAATAATAAGGAATAAATTTTACAAATTAAAAAGTTAAATTATAATAAAATTGAAAAAAAATAATTTTATAAATTATCTCAAATAAAATAAATAATAATCAAAATAATAAATATTAAATTTAAAAAAAATGAAGAAATTACAATAATAATAATTAACATTTAATAAAGTATTTCAAATAAAATAAATAATAATAAAAAATATGAGGATCAAATTTGATAAATAAAAAATTTCAATAAAAAAATAATAGGAGAAAAGCAAATAACAATTATAAAAATGAGAACCAAAGTTAATATAAAAATTAAATTTTAAGAAATTAAATTGGAAAATAAATATTCAAAACAAAATATATATAGCAATCAAAAGTTTAAGAATCAAATTTGATATAACTAACAAATAATGGCATTTCTAAATTTTTCACAACTTCTAGAAAGTGTTTTCCTCCCAAATTTTTCAGGAAAACACTTCCTTAAAAATTAAGCTAAATTTTCCTTTGACTGGAAAGTATTTTTCGTTTACCAACTTTCCTAGCAGCAAACAAATACAAGAAAGTTTGGAAAGTGATTTTTCAGAAACCACTTTCTGAAAAACAAACACAAGAAAGTTTGGAAAGTGTTTTTCCGAAAACCACTTTCCGAAAAACAAACACAGCTAAAAAGAAAAGCATTTTTCTGGAAATTAAGCCAAATTTTTTTTTGACTGAAAAATATTTTTCGTTGACTAAAAAGTGTTTTTCATTGACCAGAAAGTGTTTTTCATTGACCGGAAAGTGTTTTCTGTTGACTAGAAAGTGTTTTTTATTTACCGGAAAATATTTTCTGTTGATCAATTTTTCTAATGACAAACAAACACAAGAAAATTTAAAAAATAATTTCTCAAAAACTATTTTCCGATAGTTTCTCCGAGAACAAACATGGCTTAATAATAGTTTTTTCTCCGAGAACAAACATGGATTAATAATAGTTTGCATTCCTTGGATCTTTTGATAGTTTATGATAACATGCATGCATCTTCAATATGAAACTGGCGAAAATGATTTGTTCGAGTTGTGTTTGGGGATGAGATTATAAACTGCCCTCCCCTGCAATATCAAAAATGGATGTCGCACTTTTTGTTGCAATATCAAAAATTTGTTACATTTCTTGGAACATGTTAGAAAAATATCGAACTTGCCTTTAGGTGTATGTCAAGATGGTCAATTGGAGTTTCTGATGGACAAAAACGAACTTTACATAGATATATGAAGTACAAGCCTCGTGAGATTCTGAAATACAATTTAAGGTTTTCCATGTGCCTTAAACTGTTACATACCATGCTCAGAACTACAGCGAATTAAGAACAGATAAATTCGGAAGTGGCTTCACCGGTTCATGATGAGGTCAGCCGTACCATGCCATGCTGCAGTAAAACCTTAACTGAATGCTCTATTAACACTAATTCCACTAGTATCAGGTAGTAATTTCTTTGTGTAATACTTAGAATTACGAGATAGATTGATCTTCTTCCTTCTTTCCTCTGGTATCAATTGAATGGAACACTCGGAGAAGCCGCGTCTGTTGAACCTGTCAAGCAAAATGCCAAAAACTAATTTCTATGAAAATGAGACTCTAGCCAAACCCTCAAGTAGATTGAATAGTAACTACTGCATCTTAAATTTGGACAGCCTTAGACAAACCATTTTGCCTTTTTCCATTTCCCTCAAAACAGTAGTCGTTATAATCCATAGCTGGTGTTTATAAACAAAAATATCTTTTTTAAGAGGAAAAATAGATTAAAACCAACAATTATGCAAAGTGACAGTTATCTTAAGGCTTCTTAGCTATGAAATTGGGTGACCTTTAACTAGGCAACAGCCAACAAGGCCTCAACAACTAGCTCCACTGCAAGAATCTGAACTAGAATACATCGAGACTTGTCTCAAAATGTTAACACAAAGTTGCTACTACAAGCTTCAAGTAATTTTTTCCCCTTTTCGTTAATACCAACTAGCACTCATGCAACACATTAGAGGGTGGAATGTAAAAAAATACCAATCTGCGGTACGGGTTGTAAGCAGGAAAAGTGTTTCCAAACCAAGGGAAGAGGCCCTCCTCTCAATGAAATCTGCAAATATTTGACCACAATGAATGATTTACCACTAGTACCAAAGGCCATATGGCTTGGTAAAAATAGAAGGGAAATGTTAATCACGTCTCCCCCACATTTTTTCTTTTAGATACAAATAAGAACGCATGATGAGAAAAACATATATGAAAAAATTGGAGCAGAACAATTTCAAAATTAAAAAAGAAATACAACAGCCAGAACTCAAAATATAAGAACATTCTAGTCTTGTTGGGTGTCAGTTTAGGAAGTATTCCACAAAAAACCTCAAAGCGGTACACCACAAGGATGCTAGGAACACTATCCTAGCACATAATAACTGTCTTGACAGACAAGTGGTTCTTAAGAACTTCAAAAGTCCAGTCCATTAAAACATTAATGACTGCGGAGACGGAACAAAACCATAAACTGCAATCTTTCCTCTCAAAACCAACAAAGCATATCACAACAAACCCAATATCCTACATAGGATCACCAAAAATTCACTTCCCATAGAAAATAAGCTTGCTCTAATTATCACGCACAACTGAGCAATGAAGAAACAAATGGCTATGTAACTCTCTGCTTCCAGAAAAACCAACAGTTGAAAATTAAATCAAGTCTTCCAATCACGAAAAGTTAAATCTCAACAAAAGCATAACACAGGCCTTCCAATGGTAATTAGGATATATTTTATGGTAAACAGTTTATATTATAAAATAATTTGAACACCTGTTTTGATGTTAAAAGCTTTGTTTGGGAATAATGCTTGTATTAAAAAAAATTGAGCACCCAATTTTGCTAATTGGATATATTTGAAATTAAAAGCTTTGTGTCAGAATAATACTTGTGCAATTAATTTGATTTTTTATCAAAGGCTTATTGAAAAAGAAAAGTCACACATATAATTGGAAAAGACCTTATTCAACTCTTGCATAAACACACATTATGCTAGATTTGTGAGTTTTTTAAATCTATGTGTCTTCTTGATATGTTTTGATATATTTGTAAGATACTATTCATATCTAAGTACATTTAGATGATTGAATCCATTTTCTGTAGGATCATACTATTCTATGATCCCATCATGTATCTCATTTAGGATTGTGATTTTGAAAACCTTGAGCAGAAGCAATAACATGCCAAGTAATTTATATCGTGATTTTGAAAACCTTGAGCAGAAGCAGTAACATACCAAGTAATTTATCCCCCTGCCCTTGTCCCCGGCATTCAGGAGAAACTGCAATGGCAGCAACCTCTCCACACTTCTCCTCAAAGAAAGGAAAAAGAGCAGCACAAGCAATGATTTGACCTTCTCTTTCCACAACAACATAGGCATACAATGCCTTAAGCAGCTATAAGCACAAAACAAGAGAAAACACTCAGGTTTTATTCAAAGTTCAACATAAGAACACCAAACAGCAGGATCAGCCCACTTTTCTTTCTATTGTGCATTAATAAGTGCACCATCATGGACAGAGTTATGGACGAAAATCTAAAGGAGCAAGAGCCAACCTCTTCATCAGTCCTCCGAACCAATGTGCCAGATTCTTCTAAAGGTTGTATAATTTGTCTGATTCCTGCAAGATCTGTCACTCTAGCCATCCTAGTTCCTTCATAAAGATCACTAAGAGCAAAGAAGAAAAACATTAGAGCACAAGTCGATGGATGGGGTGGCAGAAATGTTCAAATAAGCATTAGAGAATAAATTAAAAAAAAAAATAAAAAAAAAAGCCGATGGATGGGGTGGCAGAAATGTTCAAATAAGCATTAGAGAATAAATTAGCATGTCATCATAACAATTTCAGCTACATGAGTTTGGTTTCAAATTCCTTGATACTAAATAAGAATTTCCAAAGAACATTCATTCCAATGTTTGAGACTTGATATCCATTAGCTTATACGAACCTATGTGCAACCAAACCTTAACCTGAAACCAGATATGAATCCTGACATGTGAGATTTATTTTGCGCAACTGTGCTACATAATGAATGTATTGCTCGTTCTGAATGACAAACTGACAGTCTCAGATTGAGCTTGTCTCATTTAATAAAAGTCTAAAATCAATCCATTTGCGTTCATCAGCTTCGGTAATAATTTTGTTAATAAACACGCTACTATATTAGATACACAATGTATATATTAAATTAAGTTATTATTCCAGGATCAGATAGACAATAACACAATCTATCAGCACCTTGGTGATTGGATAAGCAGCAGTTCATCATCTTAATTGAGACAAAGAAATCAGATTGATAAAGGACAAGTAAATGAGGATGATGGAAGTCACAAGGGTTTCAGGCCCAAGGGTGAATATAAACCTTGAAATGTACAACTAAAGGCAATAGAATACTCAATATAGCTAAACGTAGTTGGAGATTCTCTCTTATCCCTATTAGATGTCTTTAGTGGCTATTCCAGTTTTATTGACATACAAATATGCTAAAATGCAGAAGGCTTCTTGAGTTTCAGCGATTTTCAAAAATGTTACCCAAACTTCAAATATAGACTTTGCTCTCAATTTATTTTTCTTTCTTTTTCTATTCTGTTTTTATTGGGACCCAACACCTCCAGTTGATTTTATTCCAAAACTGAAGTTGGGAGGATAAAATCAAGGGTTATTTTAAAAAATTTAAATTCAATGGTGTCTTTATGATTAGTTATTCAATTTCAACAAAATAAATAGTCTTAAGACTCAATCACAGAGCCCATGAAACTTGGCAGTTGGCACTACAAAGACACCACCAATGGAAGCAAAGTAACATTTTTGGTAATAGGGCATACTAGTAACAGCTCTTAATTACTAAGATGCAAATCAAAAAAATACATCAAAAGCTTCAATAAAGAGGGTAAAAATGAAACCTCGGATTTTTAAAATGTTGAGTGCATCAAGAATACATTTATCAGTTATGGGCATGCTTGGTGTAAAATAGTGTGAACAATAAACAAATCAGTACTAGGCATTGAATGTAACTGTTGAAGATAAAATTCATCAGAAAGTATTGCAAACACATACCTAGCCACCATTGTCCCCATTCCATCTCTTTTAAACAGTTCTAGCAGCAGAACTCCACTAATTGTGCCATCTAAAAGATGTACTCTTTGAACACCACCCTGCAAATCAAGTATAAATCATAACTGGCAGGGTATAGTTTTCAATATGAGCAATTGAAGTTTGAAGTAACCAACAACGACTACTATGTGAGCCATTTTTTGGGATCTGAGAAGCATTACTTAAAGAAATTTCAGACATCATACTGAGGTATTTAAGCATAATGATGGTATTGATAAAAATCTCGAGTATACTAGAAGATTTAAATTATTCCCACGTCTTATAATATGATAACATGTTATAAGCATGCAGGTTATGGCAACTGCTCATAACCAAGGTAAACAGAATTCTTGAAACTGCATAGCATCTGTAACACCAATATCATAACTAATGACACCATAATGGCCGAACTATATTGTGTGCATTTTGACAGAAAAGTTGCATTTCGAATTACATGTGTGATGTAATTTAACATTCATGTAACCAGGCCAAACAACAATTTGATAGTCTCTTCATTATATAGCCAAGTAGAGCAGTGCTTGATGCATATTGAGATCACAGATGTAGAGGGACACTAAACTTGAAAGGGATTCCCAATTGTCTCTATAGGATCTTATTCAAAATCATCATCTACCTCTGCGTTATATAGCAAAATGAAGTTTAAGATTCCCATGCCAACTGAGAAAAAGAAAGGAAAACACTATATGCTTTTTCATGAAATGGAGAAATGTTTCAAGAATTTTATATAACAGATGATACAATTGAAAACAGATGGTGTAATCTCTTTTTTGTGAGTTATTGTTAGATGTTGATGCTTGAGTGGGTTTTTTACATACATGTATTGTTTTTATTCAGTCCATTTATATACGCCATACAAAAGGATCACAAGAGATCCACCCTTTTCTAAGACAACAGTATGCTACCCGAACCAAACTGTGGGCAACATCTACATGTCTATCCATAAATCAGCTCAAAGGCAATTTAGAGAGAAAAGGTAGGTTGCAGGGAGAGAATACTGTCCCATAAAATAGACTTGCAGAGAGCTAGCATTTTGGATCAATTTAAATTTCTCATTAAATAAAGAATTCAAATGTTGTGGAACAAAAAATGAAATGTGGACGGGCATCATGATTTATAAAAAAAATTAGAAAAAAAAATCATGAACTTACTTTGCAAACAAAAGCTGCAGCAGCCAATTCTGAAAGATAACCATTTAGTCGACTTTGTCGCTCTTCACCTCCAATAGCAAAACCTTGTTCCCCAGACCATAGTCCATTTCCATTGTCAAACCCAACACCATTGTGAAAGGTTGCGCTGTGCCTTCCACTGAGAGCCTTTCCATTCAGCGATGACGCAAGAATTCCAATAGACTCATTGTGTTCAAGAAAAGTGAGATCTTCATCACCAACAGCTTTGACATAATGAGCAGCTATCTCACTTTGCTTAGCCCGCTTACGAATCAACATGTCTGCTTCTTCCAGAGTCAAGAAACGAATAAGATGTCCACTCTCATCCAAAATTGGACCATCTATGATGCAAATAAGCTTATCTGCCCCAATAGCCAAGGCACAAGCTGTAGCAACTTCGTATGTGCTGGATTTATACGACCATAAAACATCATATCAGGCTTTCAGCAAAGACAATAGTAGTAGCGGAAAGGAAGCAAAAGAAATCCCTTTTTATATGTTTAATAGTTATATATCTGCACATCCAACTAAAACCATTATAATACTAACATTTTACTTCTTGTAACGGTAGGCTGAAGAGGAGCTGGGTTTCAGTAAAGAAAAAGAGCCACAGTGTACATATAATTTGGTGCTTATTTCCATTCAGTCACTCAACCATTCACAAGATAAGAAAGAGACAGATTTTCAGCATACTTGCAATTTAAGACTTCTCCAGAGCTGGAATAACCCAAGTTACTTAACACAACTATACAACCACCATCAAGCCTTTCGCGCATACGAGTAACATCTACTTTCTTTACTTCACCGGTTGCTCCAAAATCAACCCCGTCAACAACTCCTCTTCTCTGCAAGGAGACATTAACATAACAGACAATCACACCAATTTTGAGTACACAAATATCTTAAGGTACTGAGCATCTTCTATAGATAACTCAAACAGTACCTTGGCTGCAAGAAAATTACCACTAGCAACACTGACACCCACATCATGCCAACGACTACTGTCACCATGTCGACGAATATTGCATATGGAAGGTCCAGGAGAAAGCTTGGCCTCTATCATCATACGAATCTTCCCTGCAGCCTCCATTGAGGCCTCCAAGGCTTCAGAATCAGTAATTCTGTATTGACCAACATGCTTAGGCTCATGCCCTACATTTAAACAAAAAAAGCATCTCGTTAGCTAACTGCTACCTAATCAAAATTACAAGGAATGAAGAAGCACAAACTGTGAAAAACATGAAAAGAGTTACCTCTCTCTGCCAAAAGGTTGTTAATTTGGACATGAGTTCCCGGGACTAACACAAACTTAATCCCCAGGTGATGTAAAAATGCAATATCCTGCAATCATGATATTTTCCTATCATTAATTAAATAAAAGCAACCTTAAATCATCATTTTCCTTGACAAACACTTGAAAAAAAACAAGACACTCCATAAACATATTTAAAGTACTTGCCTTCAAAATGGAATCCAAGAAAGGACTAGAAACAGTTTCACCAGAAATAATTACAACAAAAGTACTACCCCTATGAGCCCACAAGTAAGGCCATGCCTCACGAAACCACTTGACGAATTGCTTGTCTTCTACCGAATTATAACCCTCTTCAATACTTCCACTCTCTGTCTCTCCAAACACCTTTCGCCGACTCGTTGAGTTCGTCCTGCCTCCCCCGTTATAATTATAATTCAGAAAAGAAGAAAACTGTCGAGTTTTCTTCTGGGGTTGAAGAAACTGAAGATTTTTGTCGAAGCCATGGAGAAGCTTTGTAGATAACAATTGTAAGTGTTGGTTTGGTAGAGAAATGCAGTGACCTGAACAAGGACTGAACATTTCCAATTTTCCTTCGTTGATGTTTGAAGATGCAAGCTTGAAAATGGTGGGTTAATAAGGGGACGATGAAAATTATTTTTATTATTATGTCGAGTAAATTATCCCTCTAGTTTTGAAAACCAAATTATATAGTCCCTTTCTTTTAAATAACTTTACCAGTGCTAACCATTTTAATTTAATATTAATTTATTCTAAATAAATCCTATTTTATCCTTGAAATTTTCATATTATTTACTTTTCTCATCTCTTGAGCAAAGTAATTTGGATTGGAAAAATAAAAAAACGAAAAGGATTAGGTCACATACAGATTTAAAAATATAGAGACTAATTATTTATGTTTAAGAGTAGAGGGATTATTTAATAATTTTATAAACCTAGAGGGACTAATCTACAATTTACTCTTATTTGATGCCACTGCCCCCCGCCGCCGCTTCCTTTGGTTGACCCCAACTTCTTCCTTCAACGCTAACCACGTGCGGGGTGGTGCACGACTACTAAGGCAGTGTTTTAATGGGCTATAAAGCTTTTATAGACATATATAGTATTAGTGTAGATCACATCCTTTCAAACCTGGGAACATTATGTGGCTCATTGTTCTATTGTACTTGAATGGCTTAACTCTTTAGAATCCTGTTAACCCAATAAGACCATACACCTCATCTTTAAATTGGGTTTGGTGTCTATAGATCCAGCTGTATAGCACCATCGAATGGAAAGTTTATTATTATCCTTGAAAAGCTTAACCCTCGACCGGTCAAATATATTTTTAATGTCATTATTTAGCTCGATGCATTATCTTTGAGTCAACCCTAGTATATTTGGTATACTTGACTCCAATCATGAAAAGATATAAAATATTTTTGCATTTTAGCACTTTAAAAATGGATAAAATAACACCAAAAAAAAATATTTAAAAAAACAGTATAGTTCAAAGAATCACGTTGTCATCTACGACTCTTTTAGAAGCTAAAAATAGGTTAACACAATTTACAATTAAGATAAAAAAAAAAAAAAGAGAGAGAAAGAAGAGAAAAAAACAAGGAAAGAAAGAAATATCATTGGAAAGATATCAACGATATGAATCCAACGATACTAAGAAAGGTTATAAACAGTAACCAGAGTAAACCACATGAGCTAGTCAAATGTGTTAGGGCTTATGTCTTCGGACAACTTGTGTAGCATATTTTAGTCACTGTTGATGACCTTTTTTATTGTCGTTGGATTTGTCTCGTCGAGATCTTTTGAGCAGCTCTAATTTTGTCATTATCTCTCATCTCTTTTCACAAATTACAAGGAGATGAGAGAAAACAAATAAATAAATAAAAAACTCTAGAGAAACACTAAAACTCTGATAATATCATTACTGGTATTGTTGAAAAGATCTCAACGAGATGAATTCAATAACATTAAGGAAAGTCATAAATGGTGACCAAAATGTGACACATGAGTTATCCAAAGACAAATGAGCCCTGATATATTTGGATGGCTCGAGTAGACCACTCTAATCACCATTCATAACCTTCTAAGTGTTATTAAACCATTCTGATCACCATTCATAACCTTTCTAAGTGTTATTAAATTCATCTCATTGATATTTTTTTAACAGTAATGATGATGTCGTCATCGGAGTTTTGATATATCTTTAGAATTTTTTTTTTTTGTTTTTTTTTCTTATTTTTCCTCCCTTTTTTAATTTTAACTTATGTGTTTATTTTTAATATTTGTTAAAGTCATAGAATATACTTAAGACTTGCAAGTTGTAAATGATTCTCTAAACTAAATTATTTTTTAAATTATTTTTTATATAATATGATTTATTTTTTTAATGCTAAAAACCAAAAAAAAAAATATCTATTCATCATTCAGCTATTGTCATCAATCAACAATACATTAACAAAGGCTCTTAATCATTCTAGGCTTGAATCTTTTGAAAATCACATTGACCATTCTACCCTGACATAGACACCCTCAAGCAAATTGAAGATTATATAAACTAAACTACCTCATCTTTAACTTATAACCCATTTCGAATCTTCTTCTTCCATCTTTAATCCTTGTAAACGCCGACAACATAGCTTCAAAAGACTTCATTTTTTTTTTTTCTGATTTGTTTCACAGAAACTCATGCTACCCGTTTCCTGTTTTCTCAACCTTTTAGTTCATCCACATATTTAAAAAAGAACGTATTAATCTTTGTAGGGTTTTAGTAAAAGCCTTATCATCTTTAAAACATGGCGGTCATAAATTTCAAATGGAAACGAACTCACAGGATGTTCACCCATGTGCTCAGGGAGGGGAATACTTTCGATAATTCTAGCTAGTCGAAATCAATAACATGATTTCTGATTTCTTTCTGGACGTAATCATCCAAATACCATGCGCTCAGGGAGGGTAATAGTTATGATAATTCGAAATTAATTAATACATACGATGAAGACGGCCCTTCTTCTGATAGATCATCGAATAACAAGTGTCTTCAACAGAAGATCACAAATTACAACGTTATAGCTAGTTACTTGACGTATAATCATCCAAATACATGTCATAATATATAATAGCGAGCTTCCAAGCGAACTTGAAACTATAATTGATACACAATGTTATGACCTAAACCAGAAGAATCAACGAACAGATTATCACAACACACTCCTGAGTCCTGATCAGAAGCAAGCATCCAAAAGGCAGCAGCAACAGAGCGCTGCCAAGCTGCACATGCAACCAACAGATTAAACAAAGAATTAAACTAGTAATCTTCTGTTCCAAGAATCTAGACTAGTAAACTGTCCAGTATATATAAATCAATATTAATTAAACTCAATTGCAGGTACATCATGATCAGCCAAAGATAACACATACATACATCTTTCCACTAACCAGAAAAGATGAATGACTGGACTGGTCTCTCTAGCATTTCTAAACACCTGATCAATTACAAGTCACCGGATTCTTTAATAGAGAAGAAAGAGAGAGATACATACCATCCTTCAAGGAGACCAGTTTGCTTCTTAGGAGGAGGAGCAGCACCATACTGTGGAGCATACCCTTGAGGAGGGTAACCTTGTGGGGGGTACCCCTGAACAGGGTGTCCAGGTGGTGGATAAGCATCCTTTGGATATCCTACAAAAATAAAAATCATAAAAAACCCATCTCCAAGACTCCTTAATTGAACCTAGAAAAGCCACACGACATGCATGATACATACCTTGTGGTGGAGGAGCACCTACTGGTGTCTGCTGCTGATTGTAATAACTCATTTTTTTGTCTCTTCTTTGAAAAAGAAGTTGGTTTTGATAGAAAACAGCGATTAAGATCCAAGAGAAGGGAAGGGTTTTCTAAAAGAAAGATCAGCAAAGGAGGTTTGCAGAAGTGAGAAGCGCAGAGGAAATTTCTCTCTTTGCCTCTGAAAGAAGAAACGTACTTTGGTATTTTGAAGAGATGTGTTAAATGGGGAGTCAAAAACAAAAAATTAAAAATTAATTTAGCTTTCCAATACGTGTTTTATATATTCCAAGAATAATATTAGATAAAATAATAGAATATCATTTCTTTTACAAAAGTATTATTCTTATGTTCCGTGTAAAAATTACAAAACCTGACAAAGTAGTATGGGTTTTTCTTTAATTTTTTTTTAAATTTATATTTTTTTATATGAGATTATCGCTTTGATAAGTTTTCTTAAATTAATTCAGGTTTTTTTATTAATTTTTTTAAATATATATTTTTATATTAAATTTATTAAAAATTATTTGAAATGTTTTCAAACTTGCCAAGTAAATTAAGTTACGCTAACTTATTAAAATAATCAAATATGAAAATCTAATTTACTGTTCTAAATGATTTTATGGCATTAAAATGGACATAAAAACAATATAATTAAATTATTTAAGAAATCAGGATGCGAATTTAACTTTTCCAGTGGATGCCGTTAGCCGACAATCCTCTGTGGAGAGGCAAACGCGAGGTGTTTGCTTTATGGAGAGGAGAGAGGAGATGGGATCAAGGAATCTTTGCTTTGCCATCTCATAGACTACAAATACACGAGTTCTCTACGGTCTACGTGCCAGTTTGCAACGTTGTCACGGCATCCAAAGGGTCTGCCTGCGGCTTTTCTCTGTAGTTTTGTAGTTTAATAATACAGCCCCCACGTGAGTCTTAACTTCAAGGACATCAAAACCGACAAACTTCAAGTACTAGAATGTAAAATTCCTAAAAGCTCCCGTGGTCTTGTCGCTGTCGGGGAGCATGCATGCTGTTGTGCCGCGTGTGTGCTGTGATAATAATTATTTTTAAAATATATTAAAATAATATTTTTTATTTATTAAAAATTATTTTTAATATTAATACATTAAAATATTTTTAAAATATATTTTTAAAATACACAAATAAATAGATTTTATTTATCATATTTAAAATCGATAGCTAAGATTTAGGTTATAAATTAGAAGGATCAACTATTCAATTTAAAATAACTACAAAAAATAAATTTAAACAAAACCAACTCAAAATAACTTAAATTTAATTTTTTTTTTATATATTTTTTTTAAGTATCTGATTTCATACAAACTTGTCATGTTAATCCGAATTTAAAATAAAAAATAGCTTTTAAATCTAAATTTAAATCGAACACCCATTCAATATTATTGTAAAACAAAAGAAAAATTAATAATAAAAAATACCTTCAAATAAACTCTATTAACTAGTGGCTAAACCCCATGAACATGAACGAAGGAAAGGAAAGGCATCATGTATCGTAGATTTATACTGGATGAAGGTAGACTTTTCTTCGCCACAGACACTCAAAATACTCGTATCTCTATACCAGTCGACAATCACGGCATGCAAGTTACCTGCCAGAGTTATCTAGATGGGAGTGCTACACTACACACATCCCTAGATAATTAACTGCTCCACGATAGGCGTCTGACTGCCTACCAAGCAACTAAAGAAACAGGTTAACATGGAAACAAATAGATAAATACGTGAGAAAACACTGTTTATATATATATAGATATTATGACCGGCTTATGAAACAATTATATTTTAAATGAAATTAAATAACTAATAAATTAATCTCATTATATATTAAATATCAAGCTCATCTTTTAATTGTATAAATATTCTTATAATAATATTTAAAAACTCATTAAAAGAGCTCATATGCCATTATTTTCACCTAATTTACTACCAAAAAAGCCTAACATTTAACACTTATAAGAGTGTTTCTTCTAAATATAAAATAGACATTTTTTTTTATTATTTATTTCCAAACCATACCACAAAAGTTTTCTTGTCATATTTATCATTATTATCGTCTATTCGTGTACAAGGAATTTACTTCAAAAACAGGAGAAACCTCAATGGAGTCTTTTAAGTGAAACAACTCTTACAATCTAACTACTCTGCCCTTGCCAGATTTGGTTACAATCCATGAATACAAGTTTACCTTATCGATTTACAAGAATTGGAGCAACTCCCGCATTTTGGGATGTCAACATTTTGAAGCTCATTGTGGGGGTTTTTTATAAAAAAAAAAAAATCCAAATTTTGCAGCATCAAGACCAAAGGAACCACTTGCGACGCTGCTGCCTTGAAGTACTGGTGGTGGAGTTTGGGGTCACAGTGATTCTTTCTGCATTAGCAGCTGCCCATTTGCTGAAATCGGGGGAAGAAACAAGTTCTTTAACAGCTTTTTGCGTGGACTCTCTGGTAAAATTTTCCCATGAATCTTTTGAAAATTTCCTCCTCTCAGGAGTGGTATGGAAGGTAGATGGGTAGACATCTGAATCTGACAGTTGATGACGTGATGTCCTGCTTGAACCTGGAGGAATGACAAGACGGTATATGTATAAGAGCATCTCTGTTGGACAGCTTGTATTGTTTAAACACAGATTAAAGCCAACAGGCAAACCTTTCATAGAATTGCATGAAGCCAGGTTGAATTGTCTGGGCCGAGGAGAAAGGAACTTTGAGCCTTCAGGCCTCTCAACCGTGTATTTATCACGAGAAACTCCAAACGGTGATAGATCAGGAACAAGTGATTCTCTATTTATGTTTCTCGCTAATTTAAACAACTTCCTGCAGATTTATTCCAAAGATGTCACTGCAGTTGCAAAATACAGGCAATGGATTTTTTCATCCAAGGCATGGATATCAGAAAGTTGTAATGGATACACAGGATCATAATGAAACATCAAGAAAGATACAGCAGAAAGTATCAAATATATAATATCAAAACTTCATGGTTCGAAAACAGGGCAAGTGGATGAATGCCTTGCAGATAAAAACTATCTTCACAATGACCATAAATAAGAAGAATCTCTTCCTTATGGCCAAGAACACAATACTTTCATGTTCCTCATCATTTACTCTTGGGCCAAACTTTTCTTCCAAATACACGAGTAAAGAGAAAATTCTAATGGACATTATCTCGTAACCTGTTGGAAGCAGATCTATCTTGGTAACAGAAAACATGACCGGATTCCAAAATGGAAAAGGAATACTTACTTGTACATTTGACGCAGGAATCTCCATCTAAAAATTCTCCTTAATATCGACGAGACAATTATTCCAGATATTAAAGCTTCTGCTGCCAGCAAGGGATCAAGAGAACTCTAAAACATGACAATAATCAAATCTGTAAGAAACCTTCATATCGTAGGTGTATGTATGGACAAAAGATTGATCTTTCATCATACATGAAAACTTGAAATCTTCTATGTAGAGGTACCTGAATAATTAACACAACAGCCAAGACACGAATGGACCAGGCAACAAAATGAGATGTGCTTATATCAATGGATCCATCTTCTGTCAAGACGAAACTGCGGACAGCCCAGAAACCCATCCATGCTCCAGTCAAAGCAATAAAAGCCAGCAGAAAAATCACCAACTGCAGTTTCATAAAGCAAGACTTGTTTAGCTGCTTGGTAGGCTACACTTCACTAAGTACTAATCATCAGCCGATATAAAGTATCCACCAAATTTTAAAAAGAAGGACCGTGATTAATGGCATCAACTTTCCCGGATGTTAACCAGAAAAAGATCCACATTACATGATAAAAGAACAGCAGCGCTATTGTACAGCACATACTCCAATAGCCTAGTCCAGATCATAGAGAGCAAAAATGACTAAACTATGTTCGAATCTTTCTCAACTACTTAATGCAATGACAAGGTGAACCTTGCCTGATAAATATACAAAACATAACATTTATTAATACAACATTGGCTTAACAGGCACTCATCTGAAGCAGGCATAGATTACTAGAGATGTTTTTTTCAAAAAAAAAAATTACACCATTACTATCTGCATCCAGAGAAGAACTGCTTTTTGTGTATCAAATTTTACAGCTTCAGACTTGCTAGTAAAAATGCACACACCTAAATGTTAACTAGTACAAAAATGAAACATAAAACCAGAATCTTCTCTAGAACAGAGAAGCAAGCCCAATATCCTGTAACTTACATACAGGATAATACATGTCTTCGCTTATCCCCATCTCCATGAGTATTGAATGCAACAATCCTGGCAAGTAGCGAAGTAGAAAAGTTCCCAAGCCAACCTGAACAAAAATGATGATAAAATAAAAATGAACCTTCTTTTGATGGTGAATAAAAATCTGAAAGTGAGATGAGAAAGTTGATACACACAAGAGATGAGTATATAAAAATTGCAAGCGAGCTCTTTCGACCTGTCGGCAGAAGCTTCATTCCCTGTCAAAAAATTCAATTCTTTCACTAATAACCTGATACCAATGATGTGAAGAACAGGCTCACAGAACTCAGAAAACCATACTGAAAATCATGTGGTAGAAGAGATCCAATTGGAACTTTTCACACTTTTTAGTCCAATTCATTTTGAGTGCACTTTTAATCAGGATAACGATTTGAACCAAAGAGAAGAAGAGGCAAATAACACAAAGAAATGCATATAAAGGCAAAAAAAGTAAGTATTGACTAATTATATCTGTTAGAAGTCAAGTAACATGATTTCGACTCCAAGCATTTATTGGAACGGTCAACAAATTCTAAGAAAAACAAGAAAAAAGGATGGCTAACTGGTACAATCGTACTTCACAAATCCAAGAATGAAGGCAGGAAAAATACATTACCTGAAAAAGGACCACGAGTATTACAAGGATGATTCCAATTGTCATGGCACTGCTGTAGTAAAATACCAAAGACTTGCTTAAAGAGGATGCGATGCTTAGCATAACAACTCCCAGGATTAAGAATATCACACGATACAAGAAAAACACTGCAGAACAATAGAACAGGGTTAAAAAAAAAAAAACAATTTGCTTAGCACAAAAAACTTGACACTTTACAATCGAGATGGAAAAAGAAACCTTCTTCAATTGACAGTTCAAGGGTTTCCGAGGATGAACCAGTCACCCTTATATCTAAGAACTTGTGGCCATAAGCTGACATGGCTCGAACCCATGAACCACCCTTATCAACATTCTCCCACTCGCCCTGCGGACACATCCCTATAGCACGAGATGCATTC